TCATGTTATCCACATCTAGTATACTGGGTCTGGAAATGAAAGGAGGGTCAGAAGAACTGTTAGATCCTATCTTCTGTATGTTCTATGCTTCTTTTGGATTTAAGCCAGTAAATTGCTAATAGGCTGAATATAACACTTTATTTACTTGTCTAAGTAATTAATCACAAAAGCATTTTGATCATGCAGATTATTTTAATGAAAATTTCCATCTCAGATGACTTTCGGCATTCACTGTGATCCTTTCATATGCTCAAATCTCAAATAGTTAAAGGATACAGTGAGTCATACAGAGAATTGGATTCTAGAGAACTGAGTATTTCCAGGTGACTATTTTGAACACATGCTTAACCAGAACAAACACACTAAAACCAATTCTATTTCAAAGGGAACAACATGATCTTTATTTTTTTTAGCACTGCCCTTTAGTATGCAGGTTTTCTCATTATTTACATAAAAGAAAGAAGGCTTTTCAGAACTTTCTCCTTCTCCAAAGCTCTCTAGTCTAAGGATTATTTCAGTGTGTTTACATTAAGAAAATTCTCTAGCAAACCAATTATCTACAATGTAAAAATATTCAAGAAATAATCTACATTAACCTAAAAAGGGCATTTGACAGTTTGTTACTTGTTAAGAAGAAATATTTGTATCATTATAGGCAGACAAAACTTGCTCAACTTATATTACTTTTTAAATTAACTTTTTCCTTTATGAACCATAAGCTTTTTCCCAAGGGTCAAACTAGATTGTACATTTTGCACAACTTTAAAAGAGGTTGTAACAGCCACACTCACACTTCACAGAGTGGTTGCTACTTCACTTTAAAACTGCTGCCACTAACTTATCCTTAAAAATCATAAAAGGACATGTGGAACTTTTCAAAACAAAATCTGGTTTATTGATTACAAAAATAAAAATGGTAAATCACTGGTGAAGAATCAATTAAACAATCACTGCTAATAAACGCTGGCTCACACAGACTATTTCTCCACTGACAGGCTCACTCACTCACTCTAACTACTAATCACTTTAAACTCTCAGCTCAGACTCTCATCTCCAATCTCCCCTCACACACTCTTCACCCCCCTTTTTATACTAGCTCCTCCCCTTAAGTTCCTCCCTCCGTCACACCATAGGCTGATGACTCACTGCCCAGCTGTGACAGACATGTGATGTTATGTCTGCCCGTTACAGAGGTCCTCGCTTTAGTGGTGAAATACATCATATTATGTGAGCTTTCTCATAGACACAATCTGCATTTAGTGTGCTTCATTCTGTGATTGGTTGATAGAGGATAAGCATAGTTAATTTGCAAGTCTGATTGCTAGGAAACTTTCCACCTAAGTAAGGAAGAGAGTGGTGCTGTATCAAGTGGAAGCAACCCAGCATAGAACTGATGCAGAGCACTATTTCCAACCTCTGTCTAGTTGTAAACATTGTAAATACATTCCCTAAAGTGATCCTGGGTACCCAGTGTGGTGTAGTGGGTAGAGTAATAGATTTGGACTCAATATGTTGTTGTTTAGTCGTTAAGTTGTTTCCGAATCTTCAGGACCGCATGGACCAGAGCACACCAGGCCCTCCTGTCTTCCACTGCCTCCCGGAGTTGGGACAAATTCATGTTGATAGCTTCAAGGAAACTGTCCATCCATCTCGTCCTCCATCATCCCCTTCTCCTTTTGCTTTCACACTTTAACAACATCAGGGTCTTTTCCAGGGAGTCTTCTCATGTGATGGCAAAAGTATTTTAGCCTTTAGTCGTGTTGTTACTTAGTCATTAGTTCGTGACCCCATGAACCAGAGCATGTGTCAGCTTCTGGATGTGTCCATCCAGTGGGCACTCAGGGTTGATTTCCATCAAAATGGATATATTTGTTCTCCTTGCAGTCCAGGGGACTCTCAAGGGTCTCCTCCAGCACCACAATTCAAAAGCATCAATTCTTCAGCGGTCAGCCTTCTTTATGGTTCTGCTCTCACTTCTATACATGGCTACTGGAAATATCATAGCTTTGACTATGTGGACCTTTGTCAGCAAGGTGAGGTCTCTGCTTTTTAAGATGTTGTCTAGCTTTGTTATCGCTCTCCTACCAAGAAGCAGGCTTCTTCTACTTACTTACTGTCATCAGAGTGGTATCATCTGCATATCGGAGGTTGTTGATATTTCTTCCGGCAACCTTAAATCCGGCATGGGATTCATCCAGTCCTGCCTTTCGCAGATGTATTCTGCATATAAGTTAAATGAGCAGGGAGAAATATACAGGCTTGTACTCCTTTCCCAATTTGTACTCCTTTCCCAATTTTTAGCCAATCAGGTGTTCCACATCCAGTTCTAACTGTTGTTTCCTGTCCCACATATAGATTTCTCAGGAGGTAGACCAGGTGATCAGGCACTCCCATTTCTTTAAGGACTTGCCATAGTTTGCTGTGGTCCACCCAGTCAAAGGCTTTTGCATAGTCAATGAAGCAGAAGTAGATGTTTTTCTGGAACTCTTTGGCTTTCTCCATAATCCAGCACATGTTAGCAATTTGGTCTCTAGTTCCCCTGCCCCTTCGAAATCCAGCTTGTACTTTTGGGAGTTCTCGGTCCACATACTGTTGAAGCCTACTTTGGAGGATTTTGAGGATAACCTTGCTAGTGTGTGAAATGAGTGCAAATGTATGGTAGTTGGAGCATTCTTTGGTACTGCCCTTCTTTGGGAATGGGATGTAAACTGATCTTTTCCAGTCCTCTGGCCACTGTTGAGTTTTCCAAACTTGCTGGCATATTGAATGTAGCACCTTAACAGCGTCAACTTTTAAGATTTTAAATAGTTCCACTGGAATGTCATCACCTCCACTGGCCTTGTTGTTAGCCAGGCTTTCTAAGGCCCACTTGACTTCACTCTTCAGAATGTCTGGTTCAAGGTCAACAACCACACTATCTGGGATATCCAGATATTTCTGGTATAATTCCTCTGTCTATTCTTGCCACGTCTTCTTCATATCTTCTGCAAGGTCCCTACCATTTTTGTCCTTTATCATGTCCATCTTTGCACAAAATGTTCTTTTGATATCTCCAATTTTCTTGACCAGATCTCTGATTTTTCCCTTTCTATTCTTTTCCTCTATATCTTTGCACTGTTCATTCTTGTCTTTCCTTGCTATTCTTTGGAAGTCTGCATTCAATTTTCTGTAACTTTCCCTGTCTCCCTTGCATTTTGTTTCCCTTCTCTTCTCTGTTATTTGTAAAGCCTTGTTGGACAGCCACGTTGCTTTCTTGCCTTTCCTTTTCTTTGGGATGGTTTTTGTTGTTGCCTCCTGTGTTATGGGACTCCAGCCATATTCTTCAGGCACTCTGTCCACCAAATCTAGTTGCTTAAATCTGTTCTTCACTTCCACTGTGTATTCATAAAGGATTTGGTTTAGATTATACCTGAATAGCCCAGTGGTTTTTCCAACTTTCTTCAGTTTAAGCTTGAGTTTTGTTATGATCAGAGTCACAATCAGCTCCAGGTCTTGTTTTTGCTGGCTGTATAGAGCCTCTCTATCTTTGGCTGCAGAGGATATAATCAATCTGATTTCGGTATTGCCCATCTGGTGATGTCCATGTGTAGAGTCGCCTTTTTTAAAAAATAGTTTTTAAATTTTCCTCTTTATAAAGGTAGGGCAGGGTAGGGGCTAATTGGGGTAAATATACCTTTGGAGGGGATGGATTTGAACGTACACATTACAACTCAGTATTTTTCATAGTAATTCTATACATTCCCTTCTAAGAATAATTCCACATATCATACAGAAATATATACAACGGGTAAGAGGGAAAACCAAATTCAGACAAGTATTTTAAAATTCCCATTATTAATTGTGTTGCTGATAATATTTATCCAACATTTAAACTAACTCTTCTGAAGCTATGATTGTATATCAGCCTACCATTCAACCTGCTTTGTAGCCATGTATATAGTGGCAACCAAGTTTCCCAGTGAACCTTTTTCTTTTTTGCATTCATCCAATCTGACAGTATATCCATTTCTGCGGTTTCAAGTATTTTTCCTATCAGTTCTTCTATCTGTGGTGTTCTAGGCTCCTTCCAGTATTTC